GGGAAGTTCCTGGAGAATGTTACGCGAATATTCTTAAGGATAACCCGGTCATGTAACGGAGTACAAAGTCAGACACAGTTCCAAGAAGGAAGCTGGGGGTGGATGATTCATGTAATAGGAAGTTCCCAGAAGAATGTTGTATGTAATTTTCTTAGGGATAACCCGATAATTACGAACAAAGTGATAAACACTAAACCCCCACTGTGATTTGTCTACCTGGTCAAACCTTCCTATAGTTAGGACCACAACCAAAGTTCCCTCTTAATTCCTGCCATGAACGAGAGGTCCACTTTCAAATTAAACGATCAAGCCTATAAAAGGTAAGACCTGTTAGAAATCTTGACCCCAAGATTAGTTTGTTTTGATGATAACAAATATTATATGTTGTGTGTATTATGTGCTAACATTTGTTTTGCAGTATCAGATCTATATCAATAATTATATTCAAAGAGATACTCAAGACATAGATGAGTTCAAGGCAAAATGAAGCAAAGAAGAAGATATACTTTATTGTCAAAATGTAATTTTATATTTTCTTTGCTTAGAAATTTGTACAAGCCTTGATCACTCACACACATGCACACACATAGTGTTAGAACACACTAACACATGCTTAGTGTGTTGGTTAACAATAGAAATCCCCTATGTTAGCCATTAGAGTTTATAGATATTAAGTGAGTCTTAAAACATTTCATTTACACCCCTTAGAAATTAGAATCTGGAAAAACTCAAAAGACCAAAGTTGTAGGTCTCTTCAAGAGCTTTCCAACAAATCTTAAATCACCTCATTCCGATATCGGATGAGAAAGTTATAGTCAAAATACTAAACAGAAAAATTCCAGAATCTGAGTTTACAGTGTAGTCGACTACTATGCCTTGTAGTCGACTACTGAGCAATTTTCTGACTTCACAGAGTCTGTTTAGACTCAGTGTAGTCGACTACTATGACTTGTAGTCGACTACAGATACAGTTTTTTCAGATTTCAGGTTTTAAATAAGTGACTGTTTATAGCCGTTTTGTGGACGTTAATTGGGTTTAAAATTATGTCATTTCAGAGGCTATAAATAGGTTTAAACATTAGAAAACAACAACTAAGTTTTGCACTTGCAAGATCAAACATTTTGTGCATATTCACTCTCTAATTTTCCAGATTTTCATGCTAAGTGTTTAGAAAAAGAGAGTTTCTGATATTGCCTTGGTTTCAATCATTCTTAGAGATTGTATAGGCAATATTCAGAGAGTTAAAAGAATCCTAAGCCACTGCAGCACTTCACTACACATTCAAGGCTTATAGGATCAATTGTGTTCTTGCTTCAAAAAGGATTTCTCTCGGGTTTGAGAGGGTTGATCTCTTGGTTTAGAGATTGGGTGGTAATTGGCATGATCTTGTCAATTGGTGTTGCAATTTGCATGGTCTTGCAAATTGGTCAGGTTTGCTTTTGATTTTGTAAGGTTTTAAAATCATAGTGGAAATCTCAAACGGGATTTGCTTGGGGACTGGATGTACACCGGGGAGGTGGAACCAGTATACATGCTTGTGTTTGTGATGTTTATTTTCTGAGATTGTCATTCTTTCTTTGCAATTTATAATCTACTTTGCATATATTTTAAAAGAATACTATTCACCCCTCTTCTAGTGTTCTAGTGTATCTATTTCAGATCCTACAAGACCGTCTCAAACCTCCCACTTCCACTGCTTCCTTGGTCAAGCCTATAAAAGTTAGGGCCACAACCAGATTCTCCTTTCGATTCCTTCCATGAACGAGAGGTCTACTTTCAAAAAAAAAAATGAGCAATCAAACCTATAAAAGTTAGGATTGTCTCCAACTTCACTTAGTCAAACCTGCATTGAGTTATCCATTTCGATAAACGAAAGATTTTCATCTTTTTCTTTTTCAACCAAACCTATAAAAGTTAGGGTCGAAATCGGAATTTCTCCTCAATAAATGAGGAACTCTTTTCTTGGATCAAGTAACCAATCCTATAAAAGTTAGGGTTACTTGAAACTTTTTGATTCTCGGAGTGGAGATCCCACTCCTAGTTTTATCTTTCCGGATTCTGGGGGTGGAGATCCCACTTCGAGTTTCCTTTCCAACTGAAGATAGAATATAAAATTCTTCTTCTTCGGTGCCAGGAGATAGAATATAAAATTCTTCCTCTCCGATTTTGGGTTTATCTCTACCAACAAACAAGAGACCAGGAGATAGAATATAAAATTCTTCCTCTCCATCATTGGGTTCATCTCTACCAACAAACAAGAGATCAGGAGATAGAATATAAAATTCTTCCTCTTTATCATTGGGTTCATCTCTACCAACAAACAAGAGACCAGGAGATAGAATATAAAATTCTTCCTCTCCATCATCGGGTTCATCTCTACCAACAAAAAAGAGACCAGAATACTTCAATAGGTATACGAGTTTAAACTATTTTCCTAATCTCAACAGGAAGTTTCTAGAGAATATCACTCAGAATATTCTTAAGAATAACCTGAATACTCCAATAAGTACACGAGTTTAAACTGTTTTCCTACTCTCAACAGGAAGTTTCTGGAAAATATTACTCAGAATATTCTTAAGAATAACCTGATTACCTCCTAAAGGGTATATGAGGATAAACTATTTCCCGAACACTCCAATATAGTATGAGTATAAACTATTTCTCCAATCTTCAACAGCAGTTCTGATTCAAGACTTCGACAACGGCCACGCGATAAACGCAGCACCGGAGGAATTTTAGCTATTCTACAAAGTACTGAATAGACTAAAAGATGAAGAAGTCAAGAATTAAAGCCATTCACAGACCATTCTAGGCAACTTCCTCAACAAAGTATTGAAGAAATTGCAAGGAGAACTTTTCATATCCAAAGTGTCCCAGACTCCTTTCTAAAATGATGAGTCTAAGATACTTTGGAGGGGGTATCTGTAGACGTCAAAAATGCTCAAAGATATCCAAATACAGCTCAAGAGGAAATCATCCAAAATATCAAAAGAACACAAGTATGGGCTGTCTCGCACGCGAGACAGTCTTTACTGTCTCGCACGCGAGGACAGGTCTTTACTGTCGCGGAGGTCTTATGCTCGCAGGCCGACGACGTATTCTCTGTCTCGGCCATGCGAGACAGATTCTTCTGTCTGCGCTAGACGAGAACGGTTGTTACTGTCTCGCAGGCGAGACAGCATTCTCTGTCCTCGCCGCAGAGATAGCATTATCTGTTCTGCGGGCGCCGCGAGACATGCATTCGGCGCTGTCTTCGCCGCGGACAGCTGCTCAAAAGAGTCGAGAAACTGTTTTGTAAACGCGGCCGACAACGCGCCCCCGGACGGAGCCTAGTCGACGCGAAGTATCCTTTGGCGGAATTTGCCACCTAACTGTTCAAGAACCGTGGGAAACATCGTGGGCGAGAATCATGTTGATGGGATACTGCCAAAATAACGGCAGTTATAAAACGTGGAAAGCCATTTTTTTTTTTTTTTTTTTACAACAGAAAACTAGCTAGACAGTTATGTTTCCGAGACAGTATTTACTGTCTCGGAACCCGAGACAGTGTTTACTGTCTCGGAACCCGAGACAGTCTTTGCTGTCTCGACCGCCGAGACAGCAAACACTGTCTCGGAAGTGGTTTTTTGCCTGGAGGTTATAAATACCCCCGAAGGCCATTTTTGAGGGGGGCTGATCATTCTTGAGCACTTTGGAGCAGACAGAGCAGAGTTCCTGGGCTTCTGGCAATTCCTTGAGATTCGAGCTTTGACTTGATTTCAAGAAGAACGACGATCTTACTTTGATAAGATCTCGTTTCAAATTCTCACTTCGATAAACGAAGGAAGAATCATTAAACCCCTCACGATTCAATCAGAATCTGTGATTTGGTGGTCCACGAGTCAAAGCGCTCCCGGCACAGGCAAAGATCTCACGCAAGCAGTGATCCAAACAACGATCTTGCGTTTGTTTCTAAAGAGTTGTAATTTTTATTTTGTTGTGTAAAAGAAGTCTTATAAAAAGGCTATTTCTTTTGAATTTGTTGTAATCGATCGAAGATATAATGAATTCCACAACGAGAGCAACTTTTGACGAAAACAATTATTCTTAGACAATTGTTAAAAGCAGAAATTGTAATATTCAAACAAATGATAAATTTGGGGGAGGAATTAGAGGAACTCAAAAATTATAATGATTTGGGTAGATTTATACATCTAAAAAGAAATTAATACTTGTAAAAAAATCATTCCTCTTCGGGGAACTGAGTCATGTTTTTTTGCAGGTTTGATTGGCATGAGAGCTAGGAGGAAGAACCATGATTGTTTTATCTATCACAACCCTGTACATATGCAGGTAGACTGTTTCCCTCAAAGCTACTTGCTTATATAATATAATCTTAGATAACATTTTACTAAGAGTGCATATCGGAAATTGTTAGATTATAACAAATTAAAAATGCCAGCCTCTGGTCTACAAAAATCACTCTTTCAAACATTAGCTAGCCTGTAAGAAATCCTTAAGCTTCCATGTTAATATCTAAGTTCTGACGATACATTATTATTCACTAAGTTCCGTGTGTCTTAAGGCTTACTATCATGGTCCTAGAGGTCATTCAATCCTATGCATAATTATATGTGTATATACAACTGTACATACAACAACTGGTTCAATTCTCAGTCAGATAAGTGTGTATATCCTACAACAACCAACTACACAAGTAACACCAACCTTTATCCACATCGATCGGATCGATACTCTGAATTTGTAGCCAGTTTGATCCTCCTATAGTGGTCATAATGTAAAAGAAATATGTATGTCCACTAGTTAAACCATCCTACACAAATCACCATAATTGTCAAGGTAAATGATCATATAACAAGCATACACTTGCACACCACAATAACAACCAGACCCATGAATCATTATGACAATGCCCTAGCAAACCATCAAGAAATTTATCTGGTTTCCAAAAGATTATGTCAATAAACCCAAAAAAAATAAAAAGGAAAGAGAGCAGCACCTGTCCGTGGGGGCCAACAGTTTGGGACAAAAGGAAAGCCAAATCACCACTCCCGCAGCACAAATCCAGAACTCTATCCCCTCTCTTCGCTCTGAGCACACACAAACACACAGCTTCAAAGCTGAAACCTTTAAATTCATTTGAAAACGTTAAAAATACCCAGGAAAAAAAAAAGAGAGTACCCGCTCCAAGAGAGGCACATCCTTTTCCACACTCGATGCTGCCCCAAGCTCAGCACATCGTTCAGCTTCAAAAACCCAAACTTTCATTCAATTAATCAATCAAAAAGAAACTCCTTTAAAAAAAAAGGAGGCCAAAGAGAGAGGAAGAGGACGTTATCGTAGACTGGGGCAATGCGATTGAAGAGAAGTTGGCGGTCGGCGGAGCACCGGACCACTCCATTTCTTGAGGAAAAGCGGAGGACCCGACCGCGAGAAGCATTAGAAAGAGGAGAGGATGGAGGGGGGAGAAGAGAGCGAGACATAGCAGATAAAGAAGCCATCCCAACCGGGGAGTTATTATAGAAGATCAACCGGTTGTTATAATTTTATTTATATATTTATGCCATTTATTTACGTTTTTCAAAATGTTTATTTATATTTATTTTCCGGCCAAGATTTGTTTGAGTAAAACACCTTGAATAACAACCGGAGTGATTTATTAATCTCTGCTATTCCTGGAAAAATTACCAAGCCTAACGAAGCCTCAACAAACAGCCACGTGAAATAACCAGGCGATCGACTTGCATACATTTGAGAGCATGGCCCCGAGTGCGGAGTCGGTCGAGCTATCTCACAACCCAAACCCAATACAAAAGGCCTATTCGACACGGGATTTGTTAGAAGCCAAAATCCGAGACGAAAGGCGTCCCGCACTCGGACCCCACACCGAGCATCTTGAACATTGGAGCGACCTATCAATTTCGTCAAAATCCACATCGCATTTAATGCATGACCAGTCAGAACCCACACTTCGTCGCCTAATTGCCATTAACATACGAAAATGCTATTTGTCACGCGAGATGGGCGCGTGCGTGAAAAATAGCAAAACCCTTAACATTAATGCAATGTCAATCATTACTGATCTCTCAAGCTAGAGCCTTCAAAGCTCATCGGACCTCGCAAGTACTTAAGCAGTCTTATCATTGTTGCAAGGGCGACTCCGCCGACCAGTTGCCCACGCATGTAAAGTATGGTCTGGCGCGGCATTAGCTGCGTAAACTCCGGCAAAATTACCAATTGCCCCGACCCGCCCCTCCCCCCGTCTCTAAATCACGTCTATAAATAATAGTAACTTCCACCATACTAAGGTATGCAATTTTACACACAAAAGTCAACAAGACTGTACTCTGTTGGTCTCTTCAAATTGATCAGATCAGTCATCGACTTGAGCGTTAGAGGGTACACTGGAGGAAACAACCTCTAAGACATCTAATTTCTACTACATGTATAAGGAATTATAGCTCAAGATCTTCAAATGAACGATCAGCCATCAAATGAGGTTAAGGGACCCCAAGATCATTCTTACGTCACCTAAATCACACACTAATTTCCTCACATCAATAATATCTATATTATCTTTTATCTATTATTATTATTTAAGAAAGCCATTTTTCAGTGTTCTATCTCTATGCGAGTCACCTTTTAAAAAAAATCCAAATATATCTCAACAATTATACATACAACTTTTAATAATTTGACAACATAGCAGGGAGAAATTCCGAAAAAGATAAACAACCTAACTCCTACTTCACCATCAAACCCACTATGTTAATCTCAACTAAACATTCAAAAATGCCTGAGTAACCGCTCCCAGATCAGTTGACGCATTTAAAGGACAAAATTTGAAAATCGACTCATTTACAACATATTTTAAAAATCAACCCAGTTTACAACACATTAAAATACCGACTTAAAAAACACATCCAAAATAAAACAAAAAGGAAAAAAAAACGTTCAAAAATAACAACGGCTATTAAAAAAGAAAAACAATGATTGAATTTTCTAATTATTATGCATCCAAATCAGTGACTTTTTTGAAAATGGAGTCTTCAAAGAGGCATCTCTTTCTTAAACCATATTCTCTCAATTTGAATTGGTTTAATATTTAATATAATGGAGATTATCATAGCAATGATGATGTTGTTGGTTAAGGTGCAGATGACAGATGCATTATCTACAACTCAACTCAATCTTCATCAGGTTATTTCCTTTTCTTATGATTTTTTTGTCTTTTAATTTATCACATAGATTTTAGACACAGGTTATTTTCGAATTTAATCTTTACATGTGCCTTACAATACAAATAACAAAATGTCACGGTGAAGATGTGGACGAAGTAATCTCACTTATTTCATTTGATCTGAAAATGACAACTAAAAGACATTGTAGTTTTTTTATTTCACTGAAGTGAAATGCAAAATAAAAGTAAAAACGATGAGATCTTTATGCGATGACATTTTACTGCGATTGAACAACATAAATTTCTTGACAAATATGTACTGTCTCATGCACGCATGGGGTGCACCAAAGTACTAGTAAGAGTTTTAACAAAATAACACAAAAGAGTACTCATACAGACACTTCAAAAAAAATAGCCTGATCTATGCAGAGACCGCACCAGGGGGAAAAAGTATGATAAATGAAGGCAAAATGAGTAGTAACGGTAGATATAATATAGGTGAGTGGTGAGAAAAGTCTCTAATTTCAAAGAATAAATAAGTTAATTAAAGTTTCTCAAATTATCTAAGATTAGGATTCTCCTCAATGCATGTAAGCAAACAGAGAAATTAAAATTTTCTATTTTATGTATGAGCATGATGTAATGAAATAAAAAAGTGCGAGTCACAATGAATATAGTAGTATTTAAATTTAGAAAAAAAAATTATAATGATTTCTAAGCTATAAGCATATAACCAAAAGAATAAATTTAGAAAATGTAAAATTCCTAAAATAGCATAGAAAGCCGCCAAACAATTGCTAGGTCATCTTTAACCCAACCAGCACAGTGGCGTACATTTAGGTTTATTACATATAAGCACAAGGCTCAGTTCTGAACATCAGTATCTGATATATTATCATATCTTAAACTGGGTGTTCAATATTACTTGCTAGTTGCTATATATATTTATATAACCAGAATTTCCTGGTTTCCTCCTAATATTTACTACAATTATCTTCGGTCATCATAGAAGGGCGCCGAAAGACTGCTCATAACTGTGAATTGCATGCTCTCTGAAGGTTTCCAGTGGCGTTTCCTCTGGTTTATAAACCAATTGTTTATCTGCTTTTGATCTAATCCTGTCGATTCCGCCAGTGCAATCTTATCTGCTTCCTGAAGCATCAGCAGTAATGTGAAAGCCGTGAGAAACTTTGGTTAGATAAGTAGTTATACAACTTTACACCAGTATTCTCTGCTTCATGCTATCCAGATAGGTTAAAATGCAGTTTGGCGACAGCAGCGGAGCTACATAGCGTCCAGTGGTGTCAGAGTGCACCACTGGATTTTCCTTCTTCATATGTGTTTGTGTGTTTTTATTTCAATTGTAAACTTAGGACACCACAAGAATAAGAGTCGAGTAGGACACCACTCGATGAAAGTCACGTCTTGGAGCACTTTCAAACCTAATTGCTTTATTCTCTTCCGTGATTGAAGTACTTGATATAATTCGAAAAGAAGGAAATTTGGACAAAAGGGTTGAAGCATATGTGCCATGTTAAACTCATTGCAATCCTTGAAATGGGAAGAAAATAAAATAATGCTTCGTCTTCAAAAAGGTAATACTCAATTGACATTACTAAAAATTTGAAAAGGTAATAATCAATCTGCCATAGAATCCATTCTTATATACCAAAGCTAGAGTACGATATATGATTTATGCTCCTCTAGAAATATGATTAAATTTTTTGATAGGAAAGATAAAAAGAGTGAGAGTAAAATTGAACCTTGTCTAATATTAATACTTAATACTAATACTTAAAAGAGAGAGTTTAGACCAAGATAAAACCAAGGCTAATCAAATTTTACTTTTTGAATGAGGGGAACACCTACATTATTTTGCTAATGGTTTTTCCAAATTTTACACACCTAGAGGTAAAGCCGCAAGTGACAAAGTTCAATTAGTAATCTGGTTAGTCAATTGGGTAATCATTCTGTCCATATATGTTTTATTTTTTATTTTTTTAAAGACATCAATAAATAACTTAACAATTTGATATTTTCCAATAATTACGAAATTTGCAAAAATTCTACCATGCAAGAAAAAAAAAATCTAAATGGGAATACATACAGTTGGATATGGCCATTTGTAGTGAGAAGTCCACCATTCAAGCAGTATTTGCCGAGCCTCCTTGGGAAGCTTTCCTTTCTTCTTCTTCTTTGAGAACTCCTTCTTCAAACTGCTCAAATAACCACTATATTTTCGAAGTAGCCTGTCCTTTAGATCTCTACTTTCATTTTTAGATTCTTGCATATATTCAGTTTCTACATCACTGACTTCCTCCTCCGACGATCCAGCTGCCTCATCTGTGAAACAATTCATATAATTATTTTTAATCATGGCGGTTAGTAGAAGTACAACTTATCCTCCCTCTTTTTTGACCTATTATTCACACAAGATTGCCCTATATAGCACACAGACTATGGGGGCACATACCATAGTACATGATGGTTTGCGAGCAACATCACGTCAGACAGAATGTTCAGGCATTACCTCATTGAGATATTGTTCTACATGACAAGGTTCGGGGTGAATCAGCAAGTCGATTCTCTCCTAAATTTATATTCATGTTAGCTTAGGATGAACATTAAGAAAGAGTGATGAGGGAAGAAAGTTGGATAATTACATATCTCCAATGCATGTCTGGGATGTACAAAAGATGTTTCTAAACAGCCGTGCACTATCCAATGCAACAGAGTCTAAACAGACAGGTCACAGTAAGCAAGTTTGATTTAATACTAGCGGAATTTCTGCTCGTGCACCTTGGTAGGAAGTGTAAATTTGTGTTCTTGTATAGCTCTCAGTATCAAGAGATTACCATATAAAATCTTTGGTAACATGCTCTTTCTCCTGAATAATAATATGAGTCTCTTTCCCGTCAAAAAAAAGATAAGAGAACTTGGAAGAATGACGGCTCAAGAAAAAGTTCTAAAGGTTAGAACAATTTATTTAATTAAAAAGAAAGATTATTGTGGCCATTTATGACAAATGACAATCGTGAGATGCTAACGACGTTCGGAAACATCAGACAAAATACTGAGCTGTGAGCTGTGAGCTGTGGGGTAAATTATCAAACACGATCACACCCCACAGCTCACATGTATAGGAGGAGTAAAGCGAGAGGGGGAAGGACAAGAGGAGAATCCCTGGATCATAATTAGCATTAACAAGGACTGCTAAATTGGGCTCTTTTGGGTCCATTGATCATATGATACTGTACTTTTGTTAGTCCTTCTCATGGGTGCTGAAATGTGATGGATGATAAAAACAAAAGGCCTAATTGGTCCGAATTGAGCTGTTCATATCTGA